TAATTATATATATGATTATATATATTATAATCTTGACATAACCAAAGTTATATAATAGTTACAGTTAAGTAATATATATAATCACATATATATATAATTATATAATATAATATTACATAATTATATATATGATTATATATATTATAATCTTGACATAACCAAAGTTATATAATAGTTACAGTTAAGTAATATATATAATCACATATATATATAATTATATAATATAATATTACATAATTATATATATGATTATATATATTATAATCTTGACATAACCAAAGTTATATAATAGTTACAGTTAAGTAATATATATAATCACATATATATATAATTATATAATATAATATTACATAATTATATATATGATTATATATATTATAATCTTGACATAACCAAAGTTATATAATAGTTACAGTTAAGTAATATATATAATCACATATATATATAATTATATAATATAATATTACATAATTATATATATGATTATATATATTATAATCTTGACATAACCAAAGTTATATAATAGTTACAGTTAAGTAATATATATAATCACATATATATATAATTATATAATATAATATTACATAATTATATATATGATTATATATATTATAATCTTGACATAACCAAAGTTATATAATAGTTACAGTTAAGTAATATATATAATCACATATATATATAATTATATAATATAATATTACATAATTATATATATGATTATATATATTATAATCTTGACATAACGTCGACTTTTTGACTCGAATTTTTGACCGTGGTCCTCGACAGAACGAATCGCGCTCGACGGTGCGCCCAGCAAACAGAGAAGAGCGTTTCGCAGCCGGTGGAATGACTAATCGCCGGTAATATCTGTACGAACTATCGTAAGCGTTTAAATGTATCGCATCGTTTAACTATTCGCCAATTCGGCCGTATAATCCGAGTGTTGGCAGGAGTTAATTCGATTTTAAGCCGATTAAGTTCGGCGGCGTTAAGCGCGATCTATAATGTTCTATGGAAAAATCTATGGTAATCCGGGTGCGAAATATATTAAATGTGGTCTCGAATCGTGTCCTAATGGTTCCGATATGTTCGTTTCAACGAGAACCGGCCATTGCTACGCCGAGGATTTTATGCGTTCGCGACGAGAATGACTGACACGCGAGATTCCGAGCAACGAGGACGCGAAAAGAATTCGAATTATATTTTTACGTTCTTTTGCATTTATCGAAATCATGGAAAGAAGAAGAAATAGATTTTTATTTAAATATGGTTCCTTAGAATTCAGCCGGTTGATTTTTATTTTGCATAAAAATTTTCAGTCTAGTTTTCGCAGATATATTTTTATCGATTTCCTTAATGGAAGTAATTACTTATTCACATTATTATTAATATTTATTGTTATCTATTGTTATCTATAATTAATATTATTAAAATATATTATTAATATTATTAATATTCATGTAATTATTACAATAATTCTTTTTCCAATAATCCTAACGACCAAAAAATAATCAATTAAATTATTTTAATGTCTATAATTTTCAATTCAATCTATTGATTTTTGCTAAAGAAGAAATGCATAAAATCCGCGATCCAAAGATCGTTCTGACACGGACGCTTTCTATTGGAAATTTATGAAACGAACCAATTTGCGCATATTAGCGAAAGTCACAACAACGAATGCATCGAAGATATTTCTAATAAACGCAAAGAAATCATGACGCCGCCATCTTCTTCGCACGCGTCCGACCTTAGGGACTGATTTTATTCTGCCGCGCGTCGGTAAAACAAAAATATGCTTAGAATGAATTTCGCGACACGACAGCGCGAATTTTATTTTCCGGGAGATTTCCGACGAAGTGCATCCAAGAAACGGCACGGTAATATGCATTCTTTCCACGGGTCCCGGCGGCCATAAAAATTCTTTTATATTCCGTCGACTATACGAACTATGAACGCGTGACTTTACAATTTTTAGTCAACGCGTTTGTCGATCGTTGTGGACAATAACGTGCCAAACCGTGAAACATTCGAACACGATTCGCAGCCGAATTATTCGGGCTCGAACGATATCGATCGTCCACTGTTCCAATGGATGCAATATATTTAATATTTACTGTGAAAAATTAACAATTTTTACCACTCGAATTTCCCGTTAATAATATTTAATATTGTTCGATCGCGGCGGAGCTGCGACCAACTCGTGAAAAGAGAACAACAGGCAAGTACAATTGACAAGTACTATGCAATTTTAACGGTTTTTTTTTGAAAAATAGTATACCAATTTTTTGTGGACACTGACAAACGATTAATTGAATTTAAATAAATAAAAGAAATATAATACGTCTGAATCGAAGAACATATATATATATTTATTAGAATTATAATAGAATTATAATAGAAAATCTATATAGAATTATAATAGAATTTATATAGAATTATATAAAAAAAAAATTATTGGAAAGAAGTCCCAGTTAATAACATTTAATATTGTTCGATCGCGACGAAGCTGTAACCAACTCGAGAAAAGAGAACGATAGGCCGAAAAAGACGAACGAACAGATGGCCAGAAAAGTTGCACTATTTTTGCAATAACCCAACAATTCGATAAACAAGCGCCGGCGAAGTAATCTCGATTTTTTCCACTACTTTTTTTTCCTCGCGGAGTCCCGCGACTCGTTCGCGCGCGATTCGCGTCATTCGC